ACAAACACGGTTCTGTGATGCCCTGCTTGAGTAAAAAAAATAAAATTAAGTAAAATAAAGCAAAATAATAATAATAATTTCAATAAAGTAAAATTAAGGCGACAGTGGGTAAGAGACGTTGCATGAAGAACCGAACATCGCAGGACAAGGAAACAATAAACAGGAGAAAATAAATGGCTTATAGGAAGACCTCAAGATCGACAGGCAGTAAAATGAGCTAAAGAAGTTCATTGGAAGAAGATGGGTGAAAATCCCAGAAAACTGTTTATGGCAGTCTTGGATCAAATAATGGATCGAAAAGGCTGATGATGAGGTGGAATTTTCCACGCAAGGTCCTAGTCCTTCCATTTCGATATGGGCTGAAATTAATCCAAAATTCATTGCACACAGATATGAATCTAAACTGATTCGCTGTGGACTTAAACTAATTCCTCCGTTTTACCTGGCAATCACAAAATCCATGTTGTACATAAACTTTGTACTTTTTCCTGCATATTCAAGTTTGTGCCGTAGCTACCGCGTAGGCTGAGGCTTAGTTGGTAATGCAGTAATAGCTACATATTACAGGCATGGAGCGAATAGCGAATTCGCTTCAGTCTACATTGGTACGGAAGGTAACATATATGTGGTTTGCTTCATAGTTCAACAGCGTGTTTTCGACCCTAAATTCATCGCTACGCATTTTTCGCGACTCATCCATACCCAAAATTCGTCCCCAAAACCAGAAGTATAACATGTAAGACACAGCACTGAGTTTCTGCTTCTTCTTCCCCTGAACGAAATGTTTATGAATAATGTCCTGCCAACACAGCTATTTAAACGGTTCACATACATGATTATAAGTATAATTTAGTGGAGAAGTTTTTTCAGTGTTTATTTCGCATACATAGGGCAGAACCAGCAAAAACGCGACTTAGGAGTAACAAGATATCCGAAGCTACGGTAATCCCGTACAAAAAGCCAGTCAAATCGGTTACAAACAAGGTTTTTACCTGGAACCATTGCATCGCAGAATACTTTCGCGAATGGTGAGCGTGCAGTAGTACCAAACGAGGAAAAAGATGAATACGGCATCGATTACCCTATAAAACGGTTCCAAGCTTCACTCCAAGATGACATGAACGAGTCACGCTGATAATACAAAGTCGCAGAAGCTTTACCTGAGGTGACAGAAGTAAGCGGCCAAAGCCAACAGCATAGAGATGAACGTAAGCCAAAACTTGAACTTTTCGTATTCGTCCTTGTAGCGGAACCTAAACCAATTCACATTCAAACGCAAAACGTACAACCGCACACTTAGCTACTTTGCTGATCGGTCCAGGATAGACACGTCCACGTCGCCGAGAATGATTTTCAGGTAGACACTGAAATTGAACGGTTCACTGGATCAGTAAGCACATTCTCCCACAAAACTAATAGTTGTTTTAACGCTACCCGCTTTTGTTTGGAAAGTACGACAGAAAGAAATGAAGTCTGTTCTCCAATTCCTGCAAATCCTCGAGGCGGCTCGCCCACTGGGTATCAGTCATTTGAGATTCTGGACTGCTTCTTAGTCTGAAATAAAAGACATAAAGAGACATGTCGACACAAACACGGCTGACGTATGCAACCGAACTTACGCCTTCCATTTCTTCTTCAGTTGGACTACGTTCTGTAACTGTTTGTCCAGAACCTGACGGCAAGACTTCTGTGATTCACTAAGTTCATTAAGTTTCGTTCGATAGTTGTTGAACAAAGTCTGAGAGATAAAAAATTACCAAAGTACAGCATGAAACACACACAAAATATCTAACTTCTAAAACTAGTATCAAATTATAATAATTTTTCTGTGATATATAATTTTGATGTTGAATGTCATAATGTCATACACTGTAAACATGTTTAATAAAATTTATATGCGGACCAGTGTCATCAACATAATAAATACAATAGAGTATTATAGTA